TTTGGTATAGTTTAATTTTACAGTGAAGAAGCAAATACCTAAGCCAGACAAGGCCTCTCATCATCTCAGTTTCCTTTAAAAGAAACAAGTCCACAAGCCTTTAGAATGTAGAATTTGAAGCAGGGTGGTTTTGATATGAAGCTGTGAGARGAAACTATAGATAATGGCTGCTTGAGAAAGGAAGAGAGACGATGAATTGTATCTAAGAGGGAGAAATCATATTGAAAAAGCTTTTTGCTTCAGATGGGAGGAGTTTTACTTCATCATACTGAAATAAAAATTATGGCTGGAATTGATTACAACTTATTCCAAGATAAATKATGTGTTCTGAGGTTATACACTCCCACAGTAAAATTCGTTTATTGCAAAAACTAGATTACCTGAGAATGATTCTTTCATCCAGCTATGGCTTTTTTGTCCTTGAGTGCAATATGGGGTGGAAAAGTGAGTGTGCTGGATAATTTCATAGAAAAATTAATAGTAAGTATTGTGATTGCTAAGCTGGGAGAAGTTAGATGTTGACAAAGTAATTCCCCTTCTTCTACATGGTGTCTAACCAAGCACTGTAATAATTATGCTAACATTAGAATCATTAAACTTGAAAAAGACCTCTTAAGATTATCTAGTCCAACTGATCCAAACTTCTTTTCCAATATATTACACTATGTGACTGGCAAAAGCCTAGAAAAATAAAATGACTGGGCTCCTAGATAGTGCAATGCAGACTCTGTTTCTCAAACATTCATTTCATTATGCAGTTACAAGGTTTGTGAGTTGAGGCTTGAACCAAAGTTTTTATTGTCAACCAATTAATGCCTAATATGTAATGACCCAGAGAGAAAAGGATAAGGAGGTTGATTAAACAGGTATTTCCAAAGTAATATCGTAAAAAGCTTTAAGTTCCAGTGTATTATATTGTAAGTTTTAGTTTAGGCTTAGTGCTGGTAGGAAAGCTGCTGTGATGGGTGCAGCTTCACCAGTTTTGCTCTGTGGCTGCTGCTATGGATTGCTGCATCTGATTTGACTGGACACTTCCCTGAGATGTTTCTGGTTGACATGAGGAATGCTACAATACAGTGTAAGATAATAGGTCAGTCTCTATTTTAATATAGTGAGGGAAGATAAAGATGAATAGTGCTCGATGCAAGAAAATCAATCGTCGGTAGGACACAGCCTCTCTCCCAGGTTTGAAATGTGTAGCCAGGCAGATGCTGATGTCTTTTTTCAGACTTTAGTTTGCAGTGCCTGAATCGTGTAATTCTCCATTCACCCATTCTCATGATCTTTATGGTCTGTGTAGAAAAATGAAGASATTTGCAGATGGTAACTCTGAAGGGATTTCTGTTCTGTTTTCGTGAGATCGTGGTGTCTTTCTTCCACTCTGAAATGTAGAGGAGAAAGCTCTTTGATTTACAGGAGGTTGTAAATAATAAGAAAAAGAGATGCAAGTTCTGTCCAAGTGTGAAATATACATTGCCACAAAGACTTAGGTCCACTCAGTCAAAGCAAAATCATTCTATAATTTCAGRTTTTTTCCTGCAGGAAAATTCGAACCATATACTAATTAGGAACTTCATAACTTCAGTGAAGCTCTCTATAACGTATGCCTGTCAGTTGTTTTACGAAATGTGATGGAAAAGCCATGGGAACAACTGGAAAGTTGTTCTTGGAAGCATCTAAAGAACAGGATCCTGGTTCTGGAAGGGGAAGGGTACTCTTCTGCTGAAGTCAGCTCACAGTTCTTGGTTCTCTCAGGACCAAACACAAAAAGGGTGTATTTTTTGGATAAGTGACATTGGAAGGACCCAACCTTACAAAAAAAAAAAAAATACTGCAGGCAGTCCATTATTAGGTGGTTCAGAAAAGTGAATGCTCTCTGAGGGACAGAGTTTTGAGGAACAGCTGTTACATTTGGCAAGGAAAAAGTGATTTTGACATAAGTTAAAACAAAGATCTGAATCCCTAGTTGGTATTAATTGATGTGAATGTGGAGAAGCCTTAAAGCGTTAGTTGTGCTCTGCTGGGTCACTGGGCCATTAGGATAGTGAGACTTTTTGCTTTCAGGKCCATGGATTGTGAGAACCAAAGAGCCAGAGCAAGCTCTGGTGTTTACTTGTGGATTTGCTGTTTAGGGTTTTGTTTGTTTTGTTTTGTTTTGTTTTAAAAGGTGCTTTGAGTATAGTCTGAAGCTTTTATCAGACTGATCCCCACAGGAGTTCAGGAATAAAACATGTCAGTAGTAGCAGTACTGAAGTAATCAAAGCTGAAGTAGTGAAATTAGCTCATAACACCCCTGCATATCTAGTGCGGGTGTGCTCAGTCTCGCAGCAGCAGGGCAATGGGGGTCTGTTGGGAATGGGGTGTGCTGCTCACTGTTTAGAAAAGCTTCTTTACATTGTACCTTGCTCAGGTCCTGTTACACCCCAGTGCTTAAACAAGAACACCCAGAGTAACAGTGACTTTCAGAGTYGTGCTTGTGTCATCTCACGTGGGCTTGTGCAGCAGCCTTCTGAGAACACCGAGCTTTATTTTCACATTTAAAGCAGAAAACCTTGTGGTTCCTGCCTGTGTTCCATAAAGAACACGTTGATAGAGTTGTGGCTGGCTGTGAAGCAGGAGGAGTCTGGCTGCACTTACATCTTTGTTTAGTTGAAAATTAAGGATGCAGGAGGGCTGCTTCGGCGATCTTCAGCTGCTGTGACAAATTCCTGGCCCTTTGTAATGTGCTTCCCAGAGTTYTGCTGAGCGGTGCTCASGGTGAGGGCAGCATGAGGGCTGCAKTTTTAGCTGGGGGATGGCTGAGCTCTATGGCATGCTGAGGGGGCTGCAGGGTGCCCAAGGAAGGCTTTGCGCTAGGCGCGGACTAAGGAGTGTGTGCTGCCTGCAGGGGCTCTCCTCAAGCCTCTGGGGAACCTTTACAAAGGCAGCAGGCTGCATGGGTAGGCTCAGGGCTTCTGGTATTTATTTTCTTCTGCTTTGTTTCTTCTTCACTTTTGTTTCCTCAGGCATCTGTCAAGCTCCTGCTATTTGAGAAGGTATTGATGWCCTTAGGACCATCTCTTCTGCTACTGGCCTGCTCACGTTGCTGAGGGGAGAGGCCATGGCTGCTACAGCCCACAGCACACCTGGGCCCCAAGCATGGCAATCTTAGCTTTTTCAAAGAAGATTTAGACAAATAGTTTCTCTGCCATCATAAGCTAGCTCAATTTGCAAGCACAGGAACTTGTATTCTCTTCTTTGCAAACAGTAACTTGTATTTTCTTCTTTTTGCATTTTTTGGAGATAGTCATTGACCATTGCTTCTATCCTGACCTGTGATAAATAATGTTAGGTAGCTGATCAGTTCAAGCTGCTATTTAAGTGTTAGTAACACAACAAGTAAAATAACTCAATGTATGTGTGGTTTTCTTTTCAGATGATACATCAGCAGCCTAACCCGGGTATACATTATGAATATATCATTCCAGGAGACAATGTCATTAGTCCTCAGTTGCTTGCTCACAGGAGGCCAGGTAAAATGCTACCATTTCCCTTCATTAAACATATTTTGTTACTTAATAAGCTAATGGAAAAGAATCATACCATTAAATTCAATGTAAATGCTGCTATTAGTGTGGGACAGGCCCAGAATTTCAGCCTATGTATTGAATGAGACCTGAGAATAGATTGGATAACTTCAGTGAATTAATACTGGCAGGGTTTATTTATGCTTTAGCGTGGGAAGATTACTACTTTAGTAGTAGAAGTAGAAGTGTTGTAACCATGTCTCAGAAATGAAATAGAACATGATTTTTCTTTCCATAGTCTTTTTGAGATAATTTAAAACAACCCCCCATAGTTTCCCTTTCCTCTCACAACTGGAGAGGATCAAACAGAACAGTGTTTTCCTCCAAGCAAGAATCTGAGCATCTCCTGCCCAAGCTGTTGCTATGTGCTGCATGTACTCCTAGGAARTTCTGAAGGACAGGAGCAAATTTACAAGTGAATTTGGTCCTCGTATTCGTGACTTGCTTTGACAAATTTCTGAGTGTGTTTGGTATGTTCATAATGAGGAGCAGCTGTGCTGTGACATGGGGAAGCACAGAAGGCAGAGATGGAGCAAAACAAAAAAGTTTTGGGAAATTTTGACACTGGGCACATTAACTCTGTGTTGTGTTTGGAGATACTTCAGTTTTTAGTTTTTAATGATTGGCTGATTAAGACTCGATTATCTTAGTTTAAAACACCACAAGCTTTGCAGATCACAATTAGGCAGTCTCTACATAGCAGATTAAAGCTGATTCCAAGTTTAATGATGCTTCATTTCTACTTATTAGTGGATCATAACATTGACTAATATTTTCATGTGAGGCTCATTATTTTATTTTTCTATTGCTGTCCATCATCAGGGGAGCCACTGAATGGTCAATTAGGAATGCCAGAAAGTACAAGTCATGAGGATGAGGATTTGCATAGAGAGACAGACATTCTCACTGGACAGTCAGCTGGAACTTTTCCAGTTATTCAGCCAGGAAGATTTCCTTCTCATCAGCCAGAAAACCARGTGCCTGCTATGCAACCACCAAGACAAAACCGAGAACACAACTGGAAACAGGTTGGAAAAACTGAGTGTACTACTACATGTGGGAAAGGTGAGTGCTTTGTGTRTGCACAAAACATTGTTAGACCTGCTGTTTCCTGTTCTGTTACAACCAAAAGTCATGTAAGTGCTATTACCTGTGCTTATGTTTAAATCAGTAAGAACAGTAAAGTTATAAACTGTAAATTATAAGGAAAGATAGGACATTCATCTCTGAGAGGAAATATTTCAGGATTTATGGCAAACTGCTCTCTCTCATACCCTTGCTACACAGTTGGTTTCCTCAACATTCTTTGGCCTCAGCATTCCCTTTTGCCTCTCGGCTCTGTCACATACACCCTCTGTGCTTTTTGTGTCTTTTCAACAGTTTTCTGGTCTTTATGGGAAGATTTCACAGGCATTTCATCAGACATATCTTTGTCTCTTTGGATGTTGCCAGAGCAGTACTGATGTGACTTAAGAGATCTGAGGTTTTAATAGGGGTGTAGTGGGAAGGAAAAGGGATGGAAAGGGTCTGGTAATTAGTGAGCTTTGGGGAAGTTGTACATACACTGCTTGCATACACTGCAAAGACTAAGCTTTGCTCTCAGACACCCACAGTGACCACAGATACAGTAATGCAGAACACAAGCAATTATTTGGAAGAAAATGTTTTTGTGATAAAAGCGTAAATCTTTTGTACTATGCATAGCCACCCACCACCATACCCAAAAACCTGCAGAGGTTTAAAATAAGCATGTAGCAGTGTGGGAGCTCAGGTGACTGTCACCAGTTCATACACATGTAGAACATTTGCTTTCTAGTTAGTTTGAGAGGACACTTTGTAAATTGGGTCGAAGGCCAGATGAATGTCCATGTTATAGCTACAGAGCTAAAACTATCTAGCAATACTGATAGCAATCAAAATTGCTTCTCAGTTTAAAAAAAGCAAACATAAGAAAACAGAGAGAGAGAAAACTATTTTCCTCAGAGAAATTACTGCTAAAGTACAACCAGTAAAATTCAGACTTCTTGGAACCAGCCCTTTTGTGGAGAAAAATATTTTGGTTGGCATTTAAGCACACTGTGCTTTTAGTACGAGTCATTTAGGCAGAATCCATAATTGTGTCTGATTATTGGTTAGCAGCAATCAGTGAGTATCAACTACTGAATGACTGAATTCACATCTTCAAGCTGAATTTTAGTATCCAAGTCAGGTAATTTATGATGCACTTGCAGGAACACATCAGGGTAAATGTATTCTTCTTTTCCATTGCAGAAATCTATGTTGTGTATCCCATGGCCTTTATAGACATTGGCACATAGTTCTTGTCCTTTCTGCAGAGATCTGGTCACTYTTGGCAGTGGTATTAATGAAATCTGAGTTAAAATGGTGAGAGCAAAATTGTAGGACATAGTAAAAAAAATATAAAAGCTATCTTTCAGCCTCCTGTACAGCTTAAATTTACYCCATGAAATTTAAGAACAGAACTTCCAAAAATAAGTGTCTTTCTTCCCATTATATTAAGAATGTGTGCGTTTTCTGATTAAGTTAAATTCAAAAGAAACTGGATYTTGAGAGCAGGATCCTGAGAACACTGAGACTATGAGCATTTCTTGAGATCTCAGTGTGAAAGCCCTTGACTCTCTGATGCCCCTAAGGCATTTCAAGCCAAACTAGGTTATATAGGCTGACAAAGAAGGGAGTGCAAGAATCAGGAAAAAGGATCTTTGCTATTTAAGGCTTTGTTTTCATTTTGCATCATTCAGTGTAGGACACTTTCTTCTTTTTTCTCTCTGTTTTCCATTTTCTTCTAYTTTATTTCTGCATGCAGAAATAGAGATGATGGATAGGTTTTAATTAATTTTTTAATGATCTGCCCAAAGCTAAATAGGCTTAGGAAATTCTAAGGTGCAGGAAGAAAAAAAAAGAAAAATTACTTTTGTGCTACCTAAGGTAAAAGGGAGGGTAAATTAACAATTCTTATGAAAAGCGGTGAGATTTCAAAGCATGTTAGTGAAACTTTGGCTTAGAAAAAAGACTATTATCTTTTTTTTATAAAGTTCTCCCATGGGAACTGCCACCAAYTCATGTCCTAGATCTCCATTTGACATGACTGAGCAAATAGATCTGCTGGAATTCAGTGTGGAAACTGCTACTACATCCTGTCAGCTCTTATATTTGGAAATGTTGGATAAAACCTTTGTCTGTATTTCCTGTTGTCAGGTTACACTTTTCCTTTTTGCATCGATGTTGGATTGCTGCTGTTACTGCTGCAGATTCTTTTGCAATTCATTACCTAATTTTCTGTTTAATTTCAGGATCACAGTACCCAATTTTCCACTGCGTCAACAGAATCACTCACGAGGAGGTACCCGAGGGTTACTGTGACAGCAGTACCAAGCCCATTCCCGAAGAGGAGGCCTGCAACCTCTTCCCATGTCCAGCTTTGTAAGATGCTATCATTTAAGCCAAGTGAAATAAGTCAACAGCATTGAGATTTTGCATGTGAAAGAGGCTGTTCTAAGTAGGAAAGTAGTTTGGACTTCTAAGCACAATGCACTTGTGTCATAAATTGTTGTGGATTTTTTTCCCATAGTTGTTGGTGGCCTTCTTCCCCTTCACAGGGAGCAGYAGCATTCAGAGTAGACAAAAGGGTACCTGGCAGCAAGTAGGTGTAGCAGTTTCTCAAAATGAGTGTGATTGTTCAGGCACACACACCCTATGTGTTCTCTGTGGGTGTATTTTTTTCAATGGAGAGGCTTTCTGCATGTGCCTGTCTAAAGAAGAGGCTCTACAGGCTGTATCCACATGGGACCAGTGTGCTACACTGGCCATACTTTCATTATTTAAAGGTGAGATAGTGCTCCCAACAGCCCCCTYGTACAAATCACTTCTCTTTCCTGAATTGAGTAGTTCTTCAGCTCCAAGACTGGGTTTGAGGGGTTGCTCGTTGTTTCCAGCATACTGATACAGCCAGCTCATGTGTGACTTCCTTCTGAAAATTAAATTTTCCTATGCAAAAATTAAAAATATAAATACAAATTTTAAAAAGAACCAAAAGGACAGTTCATCCATGATGTATACCAAGAAGAGAAAAGGGTTAAACCCAGTTGCCATTACAGCAWCTTTGCTTTAGGTCAATTTTCCATCTGTCTTATGGTTAAGTGCCCTTACAGGGTCAGAGATGTCTGATGAGCAATTTCCTAGTGCAYAGTATAGTAGATAATCAGGAGCTTCTGAAGTCATTTACCTGGAGATGTCTCCTCTCATCAAAAGCRTTTTCCTCACCTTTTTCATTCTAGCAACTCATATTCATTCAGGATAGTACCAAGAGTATAAACAAATGCTGCAAATTTTGCTTGCTGTCCACAAGAGTTCTGAAATAAAATGTGTAAGCAGTTCAGATACTTCCTTTTTATKTGTATGTCTGTCTTCATGCTTGTAAAGAAAAAATTGAAAATTACATATACAATATAAATGCAGTGAAATTTGGAATGGCATCTTAGAGATGGTGTCTGCTATGGGATTGTTGTAAACACAGAGACTGAAGTGCCATGTTACAGGATTCTGTACCAGCATCAGAATCATCTCATTCCAGTTCTGCTAAGATCAGTGTTAGAGAATTCTTTGTGAATAAAGATATCCTTTTTTTCATTTCAGCTGGGATATAGGTGAGTGGTCTGAGTGCAGCAAGACCTGTGGGCTCGGGATGCAGCACCGCCAGATCCTGTGCCGGCAGATCTACGCCAACCGCACGCTAACGGTGCAGCAGTACCGCTGCCAGCACTTGGAGAAACCCGACACAACCAGCACCTGCCAGCTGAAGATCTGCAGCGAGTGGCAGATCAGGACAGAGTGGACTTCAGTAAGTAGGATCCATTCATTGGGGGCAGAAAACCTCAGAAAGAATATGAATTTTCTTCCAGGTATCACTAATCAAACATGAGTTTGGTTTTGTTTAACACAAGTGGAATATTAAAAGCCTTGCAATAAGCAAATATTAGTTCAATAAATCCCTGCTTGACTACAACCATCAGTTTCCTTTACAGAAAGATGCCTTAGCAGGAATGAATGAGCTGTATTGTCCCAGCTCCCTGGTAACCACCGCAGTCCTCRCACAGAGTCCTGATGCAGCCTTCCTTTTGTTACAGTGTTCAGTGCCCTGTGGAGTGGGGCAGAGGACTAGAGATGTGAAATGTGTCAGCAACCTTGGGGACGTTGTTGATGATGAGGAATGTAACATGAAGCTGCGGCCAAATGACATCGAGAACTGCGACATGGGCCCCTGTGCCAAGAGCTGGTTCCTTACAGAATGGAGTGACAGGGTAAGGCTTCTCAATATCTTTATCCTGCCAGACCTTCTAAAACAAGAGCATCGGATTTAAAAATTATACATCTGTACAGCCATAAAAGGAGTAAYCTTATTTTTCATGTTTATCCTTGATCTCTTAAACAGGCAAAACCAAAAAATAATGATCCCAAGGGTTTCTTGAATTTGTGTTAAGATRCAAAAATACACAGAAAGGGCAAGCATGTGGGTACATGGCCAAACGTCCAGACTCAGAATTGGCTCTGAGTCTGAACCTCCCAAAATGTTGAGTGTGCTGAGATTTATTATTCTTTCTTGCTTAGTGCTGAGTCTCAAGATTCAGACTCTTAGAAGCTTCCCCACTGTTTTTTTAAGGGATACAGATTTGAGGCCTGATGTCTGGGTTTAAGTTCAAGCCATAGACCAGTTATCTCATAGGTGTGAAAAKAGGGGAACAACTTCATAAACTCAGACAGGCTTGATTCAGCATCTTGTATTTTGTTAATGTGGATGTTGGGGTTAATTTTCTTCCAATGAGTCAGATTCTCTGCATGAAAACAATAAAACCAGGGGTGATTTAACTTGCTTTGTGATTGGGCTCAGAGTTGTTCAGTGTGATACTTATATGCTTTAATTAAAAGGCTTGCAAATATGGCTAAGGAAAGCCTGGTGTTTTGGTCCCTCTTGTGGATGTTTGCATATCAATTTCATTTGTAGACAAGTTCAGCCTTCAGTCTGTAAAATTCTGGTTGCATCTCCCTTTTCTTTGACWGACAAATAATGTAATTTATCAGTGAAGCTGTAAGATTACATTCATAACTTCATGGTTTCATTGTTTAGATCATTTTGTAGTAATACCTCTCAAAGCCAGGAGTTTCAGGYTTACAGGCTGTCCATTAGTTTGGACACACAAGATTTTCTACGTGGTTTAGATGCAGAGATGGAGCAGGAACTTCACAAGTAGGGCAGGTACCTGCTGTGACACAGAACTTTAAAAAGGCTGATCAGGSTGTTGCTACAAGGTCTGCAAGATTTTCAGCCCCCAAACAACTCAGATTTTATAAAGAAAACAAAAATATAGACTAATAAATCAAAGACATCATTTTCTATCACCTGGTGCAGTTCCACCACATAAAGCATAGACAATGCAGTGAAAACTCTAGCACCATTCTCTKCATTATTCTACACTGATATTTTGTCCTCTGCAGAATTAAAAGCAGCTTTTGAGTTGAATGTTGTAACTGTAGAATGTTGTTACGCTTATTTATACGTGTTAAATGAGACATAGAAGTGAAGCAGGTAATATGGAAAATGTTGGAGGTTTTTTCTTACCACARACTCTTTAAGGCCGGAGAGTAAAGAATGGATTTTGTTACCTTCTCAGTTTGTATAAGTGTACAGATTAATTTCTTCCAAATGCTTGCTACTGTAGTTGGCATTATTCACCATCACTTCTGCCAGGAGTGGGTTTGGAGTTTGATTCGCARAGAGGATGTAAGAAACAGCTTATTTCAGGAAAAGGTAGATTTGAGGTGGAATATGCAGGATCTCCGAAGATTCACACAACACCTCATAACCCGGATGTTCAGAGCTGCTCAGTGGCAGTGATTCCAGTGGCAGGCAGTGAAATACAGGAGCAGTGAACAGTTTTGCACAGTAAGGCCTTTGGCCATCAACTTTCTTAATGTGCCTTGAAAAAGCCGCCTTTTAGGAGCAGAATCTCTCTGTCTTTTGTCTGTGTGTTTCTGTTGAAACGCAAGAGAAGAATTCTATCATGGAATAGAAATGGGGATTCCCAGGTGTATGGACTTTGCATGTGTCATTTCCCCAAACAATTCCTTAGAAAATACTTTAAGCCAAGCTACACTTCAGCAATAAGCGTAGATCAGCAGCAATGGGCAGCCTCAAATGGTTCAGATGAGTAGCCAAAAGTTCAAGTGCTTAAAAAAAGCTTGTTCAAACCTCTTGAGTCTGCAAAACTGTGGTRGAACTCTCACAAGAACAGACCTTCTTTGTGAGATTTATTACATGCCTACTTCAAGTCCCAGCTGGAAATACCACAGAACAGTCTTTCCCATTGTATTTTGACATTTCAGCCAAGCCTAGAAATAAGAGGTAAAAGAACTTATCATAACTTCTGGAACTTTGAAATGGTTGAGTTCAAACTTAGTTACARCTGTAAGAGAAGGCCTTTTCTGAACCCACTTTGTGAACACTTCATGTGTTGCACATGCAGCAAACAGAGATTTCCAGAAGCCTGTCAGAGGTCGGGGAGGCACGTACTTCCTCTTTCAGCAAGGGATAGATCAGACTTCCCTGTCTGAATGGATGTGATGCATGGGCCATTACCATACAGCCTTGGTTARCCAGGGAAACAGCAAGAAAAAAACACAGCAACATAAAAATTACAGTTGTCTTTGCTGCCAACAGATGTTCGACTTCAGGACTTGATAACTGTGGTACATATTTGTGCAGAATTTGACAAGGGTATCCTTTAATACTGTTTTAAGAGAAGAATATGGTCTAGTTTAGGATTGGTGAAAAGATTTTGTRTTTTCTTACTTTACTGAAACTTTGAAAAGTTTTAATGGATGCAAAAATCACGCTAGTTACCTATATTATCATGAATAGTTTCAGTAGTTCTGAATTATAAGATTATATCGTTACATTTCCCTAAATGTAACTTCAGCAATGTAACATATGTGCACTTAAAAATCCTCAGAGYACATACAAATTTGTGTGTAGGAGTTGTACTTCCTTCCCAGGGTGGGCTGTATGTTGCTTTACCCCRTAAATAACACTTGGCTGCCTTCTTGCTGTGTTCTCCGGTCTTGTTTTCCCACAATGTATTTATGTATTTTATGAGCCACCTGTTTCCCCCCATGGCAATGACCTCCTTGGTGTTGGTTTCTGCACACAGTGAAATTTTTTATTTGTAATTAAAAACCCCTTCATGTTCCTAGAACAATGCAGTTCTTGATTTGTGGTATTTTGATAAGCAGGTATCCATTGTGTGTATGTTACACAAGTGCTGTTACCWGCAAAGCTTATGGGGTGTGTGACCACCATGTGCACACTGGAAAGGAAGGAGGGAAGGCAATTCCTTCCTGGGAAACAAACACTTCTTTTCTTGTTACTTGCATGTGARATAGGTCTAAACACCATATATTGATATCCCCCAGGTTCAATCTTGAGAGAAGCGGAAATTTTTACCCATTTCAGTGGGAAAGATTGCAGATGAGAAGTCTGTAGGGTCAAAGCAARACTGGTCTCGCTTTGTCTGCACCTWTCTTTGYGCTTTTTGYTCTATCTTGAGCATGAATAAGAGAATTAACTTGGGTTTCATGACTTCGACTTCTACATGATCTTTAACCTCTTTTGCCTWTGGAGAGTCTGGACAAACTTCTGTGATATTTTTATGTGAATTTGTAGAAAGATTGCTTCCTGCCTCATAATTCTCTAAAGATGTCATACTGCATTAAAACAGCAGAGTTCCACCAAACATCCATTAATCAGCAGAGTAAATCTGGTGAGCCTTACTGACTTAGCAACCAAATGGGATTGATGGGAGCAGATGAGATTCTTGCAAACATTTCACATGAGTGATTCTCTGACAGCTCTAATTGCTGGAAAGTTTATTTGTCTTATGGGTCAGGAGKGGGAAACTGCATTCTCCTGATTTACAGCAATGGGAGACACACCAATGTTTCCTTCTGGCTGACTGGAGCATTCCCCTCCTGCATTTTTGTTTATTCCTTATTGCCATCTCCTCTGTTGGTTTGTTTCTCATTTTACATTTGGAGCCTACTTAGAAAAGAAGCCAAAATACAATTCTTAGATGTTAATGAGATTCTGCGGCCAAAATAAAATCTTGGGAAGAAAGAAAAAAATGCTGCACATCAGGGAACATAATCAAAACAAACCAAACACATGCTCTGGATTTCACTCTTCATTAAAAGGAGTAACAGCAATGCTTCTGTAATAATCTTCTGCAAGAGAGCTGTAGTAAAAGGAGAACTTCATAAAAATCAATGCTTTATTTCTCTCAGTTCTAAACATGGCCTAAAAGGTTCAAGAAGATTTGTTGACTAGTCAAATGTGGAAGCACCACTGAATATTGTAGCTTACACTCTTCTTTCACTGCTTTTAATCTGGATACCTCACTTAAAATCTCCTGAATCTTGGAGAAAAAAAGAAAAATCACCATTTAGCTTGTGCAAGAGTTTGTTATTTCTTATCATCATTGTTTATTTGTTTTAGTATAAAATGTCAACAAGATATCTCTTTTCATTGATTTCATATGGGATTCATATGGAAATAGAAGGTTTGTATTCTTTATGTATAAATATGTAACTCACTTCATCATTTGCTGTTAAACACATGGCCAGGAGAGTTTTGATAGAAGGGTGGCCAAGATCTACAGAGATTTGTGTTTTCTTCTGTGGACCTGACCTTGCTTTGCCCCAGTTCATCCCCTGAAGCTGCCTGGCTTTACATGTGGCCCACGGTGTTGCAGAGAGGGTGGCAGGCAGGGCCCAAACAGGATCTGGGTTATCAGATAATGTGATGTGATGTGATGTGATGTGATGAGGGAGGTCCAAGGCAGAGCTGGGAAGTCCATCCAGGGACAGAAACCGGGGCTGGACACAGCCCAGCGATGCTGGGGCACCTCTGTGCTGATGAGGCAAGGCCAGGGGCAGCCTGGGGCTGAGTCCAAGGGGAGGGAGCGTGCAAATGCAGGCTGTGGCTGGGAAAGGAACAGCCTGGGGGAAGGACTGACAGAGCAGGGCCGAGGTTAAAGGGAGAGCTGGGCCATGAGCAGGGTGTGCCTGAGCTGAGCCT